ATTAATAAAAAATAGGCAGGGTAGAGAGAGAGAGAGAGAGAGAGAGAGAGAGAGAGAGAGAGAGAGAGAGAGTAGAGGATTAATATTTGAAGATGTAGGGCTTCCACATATGCTCATTTCATATTAATTTTAACTAACTGAATAAGCAATGTTGAGTTAGTTATGTTTATTTATTATTTGTATTTTATGTTTTACTTAAATAAAATGTTTGATTTATTTTGGATGTATTGTTATGCTATCAGTTTATGTTATAGTTATGTGTTGGATTTATTTGACAAAATTTTTTCCTCTTAAGTTGTGAAAAATGGAATAATTTAATTTAATTAATACATAATGTAATTAATATATAAAAATAGTTTAATTTTCTAATTTTAATTTTATTTTAGGCATCAGTTTTAAATAATTCAATGTAATTTCATTTTAATTTAATAATTATATAATATTAATACTTTTTAAGCATTTATTGATTTTTCACATTAATGCATTTATAAAAAATAATATTGAAATGTTGAATGATAGATGAACAAAGAAAGAAGTATCAATGCCATTGTGAGCCTTGTCAGGCTAAGAGACAACATGCTGAATCTCATGAGCCTAAGAAGAAATTTCAAAAATTTATTATGTTAGGCTCTTTTTGTGTTACATAATCTAATCATTATAATTATAAAATTTCTATATAAAAAATTTAAATCAAACTTACAATGATAGCTAATTTTCAAAAAATATACCCTTGCCAGTCAAATGATCTCTTTATATGAACCTGTATTTACATGGCACTCCTTCATTATTTAGATTTAAAAAATATGTTTTATTTATTGATTATTAACTTTGCAAGTGTTTGAAAGAATTGAAGTTATGATGAGAATTACTAACAGTATGTTGGATGATGAAGGTATACCTGAGGATTGGCGACATAGTGTGTTGTTGCCGTTGTATAAGCGCAAAGGAGATGTGAGAGATTGTGGGTCATATAGGGGTGTGAAATTGCTAGAGCATGGAATGAAGGTATTGGAGAGGGTGCTTGAGAGGAGGTTGAGAAATATGGTGACAGTTAATGAAATGCATTATGGGTTTATGCCTGGTAGGGGAACGGTGGATGCGTTGTTCATAGTGAGAATGTTGCAGGAGAATTATAGAAAGAAGAAACGAAGATTGTACATGTGTTTTGTGGATCTAGAAAAGGCTTTTGATAGAGTACCGAGGAAGGTCATTGAATGGGCGCTGAGGAAGAAAGGAGTGAATGAGAGACTTGTTAAAGCTGTGATGCAGTTGTATGAAGGGGCGAAGACAAAGGTGAGGGTTGGAAGGGAGATGTCGGACGCTTTTAGTGTTAGGGTAGGAGTGCATCAAGGATCAGTGTTATCACCGTTTTTGTTTGCAATTGTGATGGATGTTGTGTGTGGAAACATAATGGAGGGGTTTTTATTTGAGATTTTGTATGCAGATGACTTAGTCTTGATGGCTGATAGCATGGAAGAATTGCAGTTAAAATTTGACAGATGGAAAAGTGTTATTGAAAAGAAAGGGTTAAAAGTTAATACTGGTAAGACGAAGGTAATGGTGAGTGGGGAAGGTGGGGAGCAAGTGATAAGTAAAATAGACCCCTGTGGGGTATGTGACAGGAGAGTGAAGGCTAACTCGGTATTGTGTATAGGATGTCAGAAGTGGGTGCATAAGAGATGTAGTGGTGTGAGGGGGGCACTGAAAAAGGTGGAAGGCACGTTCAAATGTAAGAAGTGTGTTCATGGTGTGATTAATAGGACGGACTCAAGGACGGAGTTCAGTGGTGGTATTGAAAGAGTGGAAAGCTTTGTTTATTTAGGGGTTAAGCTGAACGCGGATGGAGGATGTTTGAACGCTGTTACGACTAGAGTTCGTGTGGGATGGATGAAATTTAGGGAACTTGGTGGGGTATTGTGTGGAAAGAAATGGTCAGTGAAAATGAAAGGGAGGGTATATAAAGCTTGTGTGAGAGCAGCGATGATATATGGTGGTGAAACTTGGGTGTTGAGAAGAGAGGAGGAAAATGTACTGCAGAGGGCTGAAAGAGCTATGGTGAGGATGATGTGTGGGGTTAAAGTGAAGGATAGGAGGAGTAGTACAGAGCTGATGTCGAGGATGGGACTGAATGAGGACATTGTGACATTAATAAGGAGATCGAGATTACGGTGGTATGGACACGTGTTGAGAAGGAATGAAAGGGTCGGGATTAGGCGAGTGTTGGAGTTCGAGGTTGAAGGAGTGATAGGAAGAGGTCGTCCGCGACTGGGATGGAGAGAGCAAGTGGAGAAGGACAAAGTGAAAGCGGGGTTGCGTGATACTGAGGCGAGTGACAGATGTGAATGGCGTCGAGGGATATTTCGGTTTCATCATAGGTAGCCAAACGGCAACCCCCGATCTCGGGGAAAATGTCGTCTAAACGTGTGTTGTTGTTGTTGTTGTTGTAACTTTGCAAGTGTTTGTGTGATGTACTATTATTTCTATTCCAAGTAAATTTAAAAGTTTTGTATGGATATAGTTTTACAAAGTGGGCTAACTTATAGATGAGTAACCACTGTTATAGATACATTTCCAATATTAAAATTACCTGCTCACCAATGCATTATTACAAGTGCAGTTTATTGCAATTATTTGAAACTGCCGACATTTCAGTTTAAATTTACAATTATTTAAAATACAGAAAACTTATTCTAATAATTGGCTGGATATTCTTCATATACATTGCTTACAAAACTTCCCAAGTGGAATTAGAGTTTAAAGAATTTGATCCTTATGCTGAATTGGAGATTGAGCGAGTTAGTTCTCAATTTCGTGCTAATCATTAATGTTTACATATCCTGAAGATTAATGAATGAAAAGTACATCAATGTGGATTCACAGTGTTACAAATTTGTTATGTTCACCAGGGGGCCACAGTAGCAGACATCAAGAAGGCTTACAGAAGGTTGTCACTGATATACCATCCTGACCGAGAGACTGGTGATTCTCACAAGTTCATGAAAATAACGAAGGCCCACGATGCGTTAGTCATCTATCTTCATTTTTTTACATTGTAACATTTCAAGTAACTATTTTTTTCTCCTGTTCATCATATTTTCTGATTTATTTGTAATTTTTATTATTTTGTTAATAATTTTTCACATCTATTATAATCACCTTAAAGTTTGAATTTGGTGCAGTTTTAAAAGTTTAGATTTTTTCCATTTGCTTCTTTGGCTTTTTAATAATTGTCTTTTTTGATGATTTTTTTGTTTTTAATTATTCTGCTTTAATTATTCTCTTGATGTCTACAACCATATATATATATATATATATATATATATATATATATATATACATATATTATATTAGTCTTGTTAAAAAAACAAGAGGTTCGAATAGTTAGTGGGCGACTGTGATTAGATATATATATATATTTGTTGCATTGATACTAATTTTATTTAAATAAATTTAGCAATATTTATTATGATCATAAATTATGATTAGGTTGACAGATGACGAGGCCAGGAAAAATTGGGAGGAATATGGTAATCCTGATGGTCCAGGAGGTTATATCTTTATTCGTTATTTCATTTTTCCAACTGAATTGATTCTATCACTTTATCTTAGGATACTTTAACAAATTCTAATAGTACCATGGTCTGCATGTTTATTATTTGAGTTTATTTGGCTGTAAAGTGGTGCAAGCATTGGTTTGAGTGCATTTCAATGGTGATACAAATAGGATTTGTTAAATGATGTAAGGATGGATGATGTTTTTTAAATGTATCGAGGTGTTCTTTAATCAATTTTAACAGAAATCTGAGCAGCAATAATTAATCTTTGTTCTCTGCCGTTCTAAAAGCTGTTAAATTGTTAAATGTGATAAAATGATGAAATTAGATGTGTCAAAATATGTTTGTTTATTCTCTGCAGCAACACAAGTTGGAATAGCTTTGCCAAAGTGGATTGTTGAGAAGCAAAATTCTATATGGGTGAATTTAAAAATTATTGTATTACTAATTAACATTATTAAAAACAGTCTAACCTGTTTTCTATGTTAGTATTGATATATATATATATATATATATATATATATATATATATATATATATATATATATATATATATATATATATATATATATGTAGATAAAAATATATATATATATATATATATA